TGAACCTTAAGGTGATACGATACGTCGCGTCAGTGAATTGATTATCATTGATGCTGTAGGGGTGTGGGTGTACATCATGCCCTGTCGCAACTACCGTAAACATAGCTGCTAGAGTTCGTTATTAATAGGTCGAATGTCTATTTATCATCCATTATTGACACCATTACTACATTTCTATTCAATCTGCCAAAATTAACGATCTACCACCTCCCAAGGACATCCCTTTCTATACAGAAAAATATCATACGCCTAACCACCAAGACCAACCAAGTCAAGCAATCATAGTAGTTGATTAATTCAAAGCCACACTTTGTACACTTTGGTTACACACGACCGGTCCAAAAATGATTCCAGCACTCAAACCTCCAGGTACATGGTAAGAAAAAAGTACCCAAAAGTAAGTTATTTTCACACATCTCGCCACTTTATTACAGGAAGCAAAAAGTAGGTAAAGTGAATCAAAGTAGTTTTCATTCACTTGTGTTCAAATCTTATGGAATTGAAAATTTGCTTTCTACCCAAAAGTAAATCAGTTATACCCAATAGTAATACTCAAAGTAAAAAGTAGGTAAATGTGAACTGGCCGCTAGGTACGTTTTTTCTTATCCTGTATGTTTATGTTTTTGCATCATTCTTTTCCCGCCTTTTTAATATCAGCTGATGGCTTCGACCAGTGCAACCAGAAGGACAAATAGGTTCTCTATAGAAGATTTGTAGGTTTATTTACTTCCATTTCTTTTCTGGAAAAAACGAAATAAGATATTGTTTTAATATTTATTAGTGATGGTTTCTAAATTGAACACAGTTGAAGAACCTTCAAAAGCAATAAAAACATTGTTTTTAAACACTTTGTTTCAATTTAATTGACAACACTGGATACGACGATAAATGATTTGAACACACACCTTCGTAATGTGGTGTGTAGAAAAAAGGTAAACAAAACAATTTTAGCTTACAAAATTATTCGCGGCTCGCGTTTTTAACAATGCAAATGATATCATTTAAGTAAATATCATCTTTAAAAGTGAATTAAATTGAAAGTGCTTGTAGAAGCACGTGTCGTAATTGTTTTTAGTGTGGTTCTGAAAAGTGGAAGCTAGTGAAAACAGTTAGTTAAATTTCATGCCCAGAGTAGAACAAAATCAACTGATCTTAGTTTTTCATGCAAATATTGTGAATGCGTGAATGAACTGGTAATATTTTGGTGAGAAAGTGTACAAATATGTATCCAGATCTTATTCATACAATTTTGGCCCATTTTTTAAGGTATGTAAATAGTAATTTACTATTTTGTAGGAAGATGTATTTCGTACGCATACCAAAACACGTTTATTTAATGATTGTGGGGACAGCCATTGTTACATGACGTGCCGTATCACCTTAACAGAAAAAGAAAGCCAGCAGTTTCTTCGTCGGATCGATTTGGTCGATTGAAGCTGATATTGTGACGCCCTGATAAGCACTACTCAATATTGAATATCGTTTTCGGAGGCAAGTTGATCACATAAAACGTAAATATGGCTGCCCCACCTGAAGACCAATGTTAATAGGCTAACCAAAATTATCACTGGCCTGGAACTCAGAAATAACGATTTTGGCAACAAGATTCGCTCACTCGCGGATTGTGCAAAGCCATTTTGGAAGATGACCTAAATTTCAAAAAATAAGTCGAGACCGATCCCTCCCTCCGCTTACCTCTGTTGACCAGAACTCGGACCCATCCCTACTCACAACCCCAATTGAAAAGGTCAATACTCTTGGTCAAAATTTTGTGATTTCACGTAATCTTGGCCAAACCATGGTGAGCCCCCATGGGCCTGCCGTACTGGAGGCAATGTCTAGAGTCGCTGACACCCCGTAGAAGTGCACGATGATAGTAGAATATCGGCTGATGAGGTGATAGCAGCTGTTAGAAGCACTAAAAACATGGAAGCCGTGGGTATGGATGGTGTAGTCAACCTCGAGTTGAAAAACCTGAGTATTGACTTCTTCAACCATCTTACCGTTATCTTCAACAAATGTTTGGAGCTTGGCTACTTCCCTGCATGTTGGACGTTAGCCAAAGTGATTCCAATACACAAGCCTGGCAAATATCCTACCAGTACCAAAAGCTATCGTCCCATCAGCCTCTTATACTCCATCTCGAAGCTTTTCGAAAATTTGATACTCAGCCGGTTGCTGGAGTTCTCCAAAGAAAATAACATCTTACTCAAGGAGCAATTCGTGTTTAGGAAAGGTCATTCAACGATCCACCAACTAAGTAGTGTTACTAACATCATCAGTCGGAGCATGTCCGTGTCTGGCATGCTGGCCTAGTGTACAAACTGCATCGATACAACTTTCCGATCTACCTCGTGATGATCATCAAGAACTACTTGTCGGACAGATCATTCCAGGTCTACTTGAACAATGCCCCCTCTGATACGTTCAACGTTCATGCAGGGGTATCTCAAGGTAGCCTGCTTGGGCCTATCCTATTCAACATTTTCACGTTAGACGTCACCTCCATCATCTATAAGGGTCGAATGATCCGTGCTCTGGCGAGTAAACTACAATCAGGCCTGGATGTTCTGTCCGACTATTTCCAGATCTGGAAGATTTGTATCAATGCAGGACACCACCAACCGTTCTTTTTCCACGCACGAATTCACCTCGGCTTGTTCCGTCTGCTAGCGTCAAGGTCCACCTTAATAACACTCCCATTGAATGGTCGAGTCAAGTAGTCTATCTTGGTCTCACCCTTGATAGCAAATTGCTATTCCGATCCCATGTGGACAAGACATTGTTAATTGCTAGCCAGATGGGCTAGTTTAAAGAGATTTCCCTAACCTCTGGTCTAGCCACGGAGATCGCCTGCGGTGGGCTACACTCGCCTCCTTTTTTGGTTAGCTCGAGCTCGAAACCCTAGAGTTTCAAGGTCGGTTCCTGGCTTGTCGATACTAATCAGTACACACTTAGAAAAAATCATGTAAATTTAGGTGCTCTGAGACTGACATATACGAGCGTCAATTTTGACATAAAATTGAGTCATAATAGACGCGAAATTCATCTCAATCAAACGTTCTTTTCATCGAGTAACGAACTTTTCAGTCTCGGAGCACCTAATTTTACATTACATGTCTGTTTACGTCTCATCCTTTATGTCAAAGATGGATTCCGTCACTTGTAAAATTAGGTATTTCTAAGTGTGTAGCACAAAACACCTATTGATCACTTTTTAGTAGTTTATTGTCTCTTGTTATGTCTTTAGTGTGGGTGTATAGATTGCTGGCCAGCAATGACGGGATTCTGCAGTGAGTGGGGGTTTTTCGGCGGCGGATGAACGGACTGTTCACGGTGGATGCCGGTGCTCGACGGTTGTCACCGTGTGGCACGACGGATGTTGCACTGGGACTCGATCGGGTGATCGACGGTGGTCTCTCAGTGGTCGTCGGTGTATTATCGCTGGACGCTTGCTATACGGGGGCTGGCTTGTTAATGAACGCCCTCGTCGTTTAGCCAGTAATTAATGGGTCCTGAGGGGAACATCAGAGGTGGTCTTAGGGCTGGGAATTCCGCTACTGGGTTATTAATTGGGTCCTACCTGACTCCGTATTCGGTGGTTTTAGCCGGTATATGTTGGTAACTCTTCACTATGAAACTCACTGATAATTTATAGGAACTATGTTGCGCAATGGCTGAAGTAGAAGAGAACTTTCTCTTCATTTTGACCCAGTAGCTTCCCCCTTGACCTAAGCCCATTTCCACCTTTCTCCCACTTTTCCACCACCCCTTGTCCATATCCTTCTCCTGTTTCCAACACCCACCTTCATCCTTACTCCTTCCCGTTAAGTGTTCTGTGTTATGTGTTGTTGGTGTGACTGGGTTACAATATTTAATTGGACCGTTGGTTTAGAAGTGGTTTTTCATTTGACTTACATATTAACTTATATTTACATTAAAAAACAAGACAACATTGCATACAAGAAACTAACATACTGATTGAGTTCACAATGAGTACACATAAACCCTATTCCTCGCTCTCGCTATCTTCTGATTTTTCTCGCTCGAAGTGAATCAATAGGGTACCAAAACGGTAACAACATTCACCAAGTGTAACATCTTGATCAGCTCGCTCTACCCTCTGATAAACAGGAAGTCGACCCTGTCCCTCAAAAACAGTGCCACCACCTAAAGCTTCAGAGGATTCAAAACAAGATCCTCAGAATGATCCTTAACAGTCCACCGCGAACTCGTAATTCTGAGATTCACCACCTGGCCGGCCTTTAAACACTCGAGGAGCGCAAGACGTCTTCTTTGGAAAGGTTCAGAGTCACCTGTCTGCAATCAAACCACCAAATCATTCGTGATTTGGTTACCTAGTTTAAGTAGTTAGGTAGGTTCCTGTGCTCAAGTAGGTAGGTTATCAAATTTTTTGATTCAAACGAAAACAAGCCCTTAAAAGGGTATCCTGTAAATTAGCGCTAAACGCAATCATCAATTGAAATGTTAAATCAAATTTTGAAACATAAAAACCAGCAAATAATCGTACGTACGTGCCCCATTTTTAGTAAATGAGCGATAATGCTAGGTAGACCAAATGACCGAAGTAATAATCAAGCATCTATCATTCTTAACCGTACATTGGCCAATTTGTTACCTATGAATATTTTAAACAAATTAAAGTAAATTTAAATGCGTGTTTTTGTAGCATCTACAATGATAGTAGAGTAATAGTTTGCATTGATTAACACGATTTGTGTACATTTGTTACTTAGGACCTTTTGAAAAAGTATTCAAGATAGGTTTTATTTTAATAAGAATTTTATGAGTTATTTGCGCCATCTCTAAATGTCAACGGAAAAGCTAAATTTTTGACATCTCACTTAATTAGTCCCAATGAATAATCGTTATCCACATGGGAAAACGTGCTCCCGAACGATTTTTAAATTGAAACCCAATCCTGCTACACGCGCCCTGCAGGGGACTGTTGTTCAAATAAGACAAATCAATCTGCTTACCTATAATAATTTTGTAGGTTTTCCCGATTCCCATCGGCCGCTGATCGGACGCCACAAACGATACAATGCTCATCCACTTTAAAGATGATCCCATTAATTTGAATTCAGCAAGCAGCAATGAAGGCAGAAAAGAAAACAGTCAACGTTAAATTTTACAATGCAGTCAAATCCAGGTCACACCGGGTCCAAGGCAAACAAAAAAAATATAGATTCTAACGGAAGATGGCAAACTAATAGCAACGAAACGATACGAGATAAAGGCAATTTATCACCGAAGTAAGTGACAGTTGCCCCTACGAAACGAAATCGTCAAAGCACCAACCAACCTTATCCACCAGCTCGCTGTAGGTCACGAAGTCGTACAAAACTGTCCGTTCGATTCGCCGGAATCGGTGACACGTGACTGACGAGAACGAACTGGATACGTTGGGCACTTGCAGCCAGTACAGCCAGGTGAGGGCGCACGTCGCCAGGAACAGGACCTTCAGTGCCATTTTTCACCTGAAATTGGTAGAAGCGAAAACCGAAAGTAAGCATCTCGAATACGGCGGCGAAGGAGGCTGATTTGGGGGAAATCAATGATGCGACCTCTTGATCTCGCGGAGAAAACCTTCAACACCCACCCACCGCCGCCATCGAACCGAAATTCTGCTCGTGTCTTTTATTTGATTTGATGATTTTGCTGTTTTTGGCTCCGTCCGCACCCAATCGTAAGTGTTGTCGATTTTATGTGTGTTTCACTTCATTGGAAAGTCACGCTGCTGGGCGGGACTGGTGCCCAGCAACAGTGCTTCAATGCTCCAGCTGCGTTTCATTCCCACCCCCCACGGACCGAATGCGGATCGTGGTGGGACTGCTTGCTGTGCCAATAAAATCGCCATGATTATGATATTTTATCGTTTTCACACGCCTGGGAAAAAATGCTCACATAAAGCACGCGTCGTCGTCCGGCCCTGTGTCTGGTGTTTAATGACTGTGCTTTTGCCGAGCGGGCTACATGATTTTCGTTTTTTTTTTTGCTGCGATTGACTGACTCTGGAAGTGTATTTATTTGGGATTTTCATTTATTATCTTCGACGTAGGCGTTTGCGTCGTCTAATGTAAACATATAACGTAGGCAGCTAATATAAAGTATTTGCTGATCATTTGTGGGAAGACGAAAATCAATTGCTATTTGAGTACACAATTAATCAAAATCGATTTTTTAATGGCTCATTAGAAAACATTGATTTATTATCAAACTATGCATCAATCAATCAATCAAATAAATTAATTACATACGACGAACAAAAATCAGTATAAATGTTCAGTCAACGTTTCATATCAATTAATGAAATATTTTCCAACCCATAAAAATCATCAACCATTTAATTCCCTGGCCTTCCTTCGGTTCTCACCTTTCTGTTTATTTTTCTCACATTCCACCACCTCTCTGCCAACGTGTGTTCAGGTAGGCCCACCAAAAGCCTCATTCACGATTTCATCTGCAGTTGCATCAATATTATTTCGAATTAAAATTACACTGCTCACAAACAGACACTCACACATATGCACGCTTGTGACCTGGAGTCCACATCAACTCAACCAGCGACAGGATTGGAAACAGTCAACAATGTTTCACCTCCCGGGATCGAACAGCAGCAGCAGATTCGCACCAAATTGCATCCATTCCTTTTGAATGACAAGTTGACTGACTAACCAAGCTATCACATTGACTGACTGACTGACTGAAGCCAAAAAAAATAAATAATACGTGTAGCTGCCATTCTATCCACCACCGTCCAGGAAGCAGCCGAGCAAAAACAGGGAAAAATCACCAACTGTAAATATAACACTTGTTTGACTTGTAAATGTGTTTTCCTTCATTTTTTTCCTCAACAACTTTGAATGTAAATAATGTATCGTTGGCACCTCCACTGACGCAGAGTACGTTTCTACACGCAAAATAAATATCTCTTACGTCCAATGTAAGGCTGGATGAATTACATCGCCTGCATATGTTTCGTACAGCAAATGTAATGACAGTGCTTGCAAGTAGAACCTTCGTGAGATGATTTTTTAGACGTAATGCATTTGGGTAAACACACTTTGTTCGAAAATTAAGCAATCATGAAAATTAAAATAATATTTACAAAACCATAATACAGAACCAATTCATGCGGTCAAACGTTGAAAATTGTGTTTATTTTTCCTGGAAATCTGTTATATAATCTTACATTTCCCGGTTGAGTGTATCGCTCGTCAGGTTGGAAAACTATGCGTTGGTACCAGGAGGAAAAACTAATCCGAATCCCTGCATGTGCCGTGTGAAGTTGGTGTTTGGTTTTTGCGATTTCGTTGTGTTAGATTTATTTTAACTGTCGTTAAAATAGATGGTATGTTAGTTGCGCATTGACGATCCAATGTGGAAAGACTGGAAAATGCAATTTGAAGGGGGTTCGTTTATATATATATTGGGTTAAATCAGTCATTGAAGTTCTATACATTCGAAACATGATTTTTCGTCTCATTGTGACATTACCGAGAATGTTAAACAAACAGCTGCATTCTGAGGTGAGTAACAACCCTGCTACAGTAAGGGTCCGATTTGTAATCCGAGTGGTACGATTTTGGCTTCGCCGATGACATCGACATCAAGGCATGGAACTTTGAGACAATGCACGGAACTTATTTTTGCCACTGAATCTCCACTCCACCACGAACCACCTTTGAGTTCGGATGCGCGTTCGCAGCGTTCTTGTATATAGTTTACTACTCAAACTTTATTTTATTTTTCATAACTTTTAATTACTGACCCGTGCGCGAGCCCCGCGTTAGCATTTTCAAGTAGCACATTTTTACCTTTTTTTTATAACCCGACGCGAGTGCAATGAAGTGTGGTATCGTGAATTGCGTGCAAAATGACAATCGTACTTTCCATGCAGCTTGCGTAGGCGCACAGCGGAATCATGAAGAACTTTTGCGGACCTTCATGCTGCCTCTTTGCCAAGCCTGTCAGGAAAAGTTTACCGCTGAACTTAACATGAAGGAACTGTCCAAGTCTTCCCAAAATATTACGGAAAACATACATTGGCAGCAAACCACAAACTCCTCATGAACTTCAAAAGCCTTAGCGCAACTCATGACGAAACGATCGTCCACATTGAGAAAATGCTTGTCGACATAAAACAAACCATTTCCAACCTCGCCAGCAGCAGCAAGACTAGTTCCACTGAAATAAAAAGTAAACTATCAGCACTTTTGGACACACCTCCAGCAGACTGTAGAAAAGGCGGTCAACTCGGCAGCAACAGCAGCAGTAGAAGCCATCACATCAACAGCAACAGTGCACTAAATTGTCCAAATTCCACAATTAATTACGGAAATTAAGAACGACTTAGCGGACTCAAATGCGAGTGTACCCAATTAGGCATAAATACGTTAGGCATACGGACGTTAGGCATACGGACGTTAGGCATACGGACGTTAGGCATACGGACGTTAGGCATAATGGACGTTAGGCATACGGACGTTAGGCATACGGACGTTAGGCATAATGGACGTTAGGCATAAAGTCATTAGGCATAATGGACGTTAGGCATAATATACGTTAGGCCTAATGGACGTTAGGCATAAAATACCTTGCTGCTGTGCAACTCTAGAAACCTGCTTAACCTGTAAACCTGTAAACAATGCTTAAATTAGGCTTAGCGTTGAATAAAAAATGATACAAGTTAAACAAACATAGTTTATTTAATAAGCACAGTTTGGAATCCATTATATATCATATCATAAGTGACGTATCTACATATTTACTTAGATCCATGATTAGTAGCGATAGTGGTTCAGTAATCTTACAATGAAAACTCAGCTTAGTTTTGAACTATATCTTGAAATCAATCGCATCAGGTTTTCCTCAAAGAACAGCTCATGAAATAAAGAATGGTGAATTCTGTGATTTTTCATTCAATAACAAAAAAACAGCCAAGCTATCGGAACCGTCTGCTGATGTGAGGGAGCGATACTTCCATGAACAGTGACGAGTTGCCGAAACAAACAAGGAACTGTGGCAAACGTACCATATGTAACCCAATACTTTGCCTGTCCAAGACGTCGTTCGTGAGTTCCAAAAATTAAGGCTCTTTCATTATTGTCACCGAAGTCAGCAATCAATAGACGGTCTCCATTATCATCCTTCTGGAATTCATCCGGTAGATTATGCCTAACGTCCATTATGCCTATCGTACATTATGCCTAACGTCCGTATGCCTAACGTCCGTATGCCTAACGTACGTATGCCTAACGTCGTGCACCCCTTGCAATCCAATTGCATGTACCAACATAGAAATTGAGCTGCAGAACGTCGGTGACGAACCAGCCCCCAGCTGGCGAATGATGGGAATTAATAAAAAATATTGTTGTTGTTGTTGTTCTTTATTATTGACATTTTACATCCTGCGGATGCATTAATGTCAGTTGAATTGGTTTTTGTGTAAACAGTGTATGGGTGTGCTCAGAGTGATGTGAGGGTGAGTGTTAGTGTTTACGATACAATTCAAAATTCACTTAGCTTTCTAATCATTTGCTCGTTTCCTGGTACATCGTCTGCATGCTCATTTCATGCACAGTTCGAAAAAGTGGTGTAAATTTCAGTTCAATATGATGCACATAAATGGAGCGTCATATATCATATACGTTTACATTATATATCATGTAAAGTTCTGACACATTTCATGCAATGTAGCAAATATTGTGTTCAAAAGCTCATCTTTGTAAACAACATTGTTTGCAAGTTGCTCGGTTGCGTGAAATGAAATACAAGTCTACGTGAATGAATGTTTACATCACAATTAAAATTCAGAATTTTTATCTGTGTGGTTTACACTTCTTCTCCATAAATTTCTTCTTTACTTCTTCTATATATATATTCACCATCTTCATTCTTCATGATCTTCCATATATCTTTTCCACATTATTTTTCGATTTCTCCGTTCCTTCCTTGCGCTTCATTTTTATCTTCATTCTTCTGCATCTTCATACTCATACATGTCTTCTGTAGTACTTTCGTTTTTTGCTTTATCTTCATCCTTTTTCACTCATTCTTCTTCGAGTTCTATTCAGCAGCTTCTTCATGAACTCATTTGCTTGCAACATTCATTGGTAACTTTCTTCCGCTGCATCTTCTTCCATTACCTGTCCGACATCTTCTTCCATTCAGACTTTGTTTTTTTCTTCTGCATCGCTTGTTTTTCTTCATCCTCCACTCCGTTTTTTCTTACATCCTGCACTTTCCTTTTCATTCTATCTTCGCCCTTCAAAGCTTCCGATAAAGTTTGGTTTCATGCAGAAACTTCAGCAACCGGCTTCTCAGAATCATCGTCGTTGCGTAACGCCGTAAAAAGGCTTGTGGAATCGATTCCGTATTTCGTCCTGGCCGCTTCAAATTTCCTGCAGTGCAGAATAATGTGACGAACGTCAACAACGGTCCCACAGCATTCACATGATGGCGGAGCTGTTTTCTACAGCAGAAATTCATGCGGAACCCTAGTACGGCCAATGCGCAGACGAGTGAGTGCGCGTTGATTGGCAGAGCTGTACTGATCGATCCACTTCTTCGTTTCCATTTTGACTTCCTTCAGCTTCACATCTGTCAATAGTGCCCAACGTGCTTCCGATTTTGGTTAAGGTAAAAAAAAAAACAGTGTATCAATCGATGTTCAGTTAGGCGCACATTTTATAAATCATTGAAGTTTTTATGTCATAAAATTAGCTCTCCCCGAAACTAAATGCTGGCTACGGGCCTGCTCCTCATCTAGACTTTTGCCCTTCCATTTTATTTCTGGCCAATGCAACACAAATATCGAGATTACAGCGCTTGCAGAGTAAAATAATGCGTTTGATTTTGAGATGTAAAGATTCACTTCCTCAACTTTGATGCTAGATGCCTTACAACGGTTGTCGGTGAAGCAAAGAATTGTATATTTGACTAATGTGTTCATTTTTAAAGTAGTTAACGGTTTGCTGCCTCGATATTTGTGTGATCGAATTGAAAGAGGAAGTCACTTACATAGATATAATACTACCCAAGAAGAATTGCAAACTTTATAAAGGTTTTATAGTATTCTACAAGCCTAAATCATGGATTACAGAACCCGCATAAAACCAGAATTGTTACTTAGGTAGAAACGCAGCTGAAATAAAAGCACCACATGTCTTGACTTGTGCTTCACAAAATTCATTGTATTACAACACTTACAGAATTTAAAAGACACTGCATTTCACACGTTAAAACTGTCTCTTGAACAGTTATCCAGTGATTTTTTTTTTATGAATTGACAAATTATGTATCTTAACGAAGTTATCTCTTACGGATTATTTTATATGGATAGCTGTCATAACGACTTCTTTTTTTAATAATTATTGTGGCACTGCAAAATAATGGGGCAAAGGGGCTTCATAGCCTAGTCAGTAAAGGCACGGTATTACCAAGCCGGAGGCGGTGGGTTCGATTCCCAGACCGGTCTAGGGAATCTTTCGGGTTGGAAATTTTCTCGACTTCCCTGGGCATAGAGTATCATTGTGCTTGCCACACAATATACAAAATTCATGCATTGGTATTGGCATCGAAAGCTCTCAATTAATAACTGTGGAAGTGCATTCAGAACACTAAGTTGAGAGCACACAATAAGCTAACATGCGCTAAGAAATAAGCTTGAAATGCGAATAAGAAGAAGAAGAAG